TATATATATATATATATATATATATATATATGCAATAGTTATAAAGTGATAAATGTCAAAATATAATAAGCAAAAAGATTCAGTATCAAGTCACATGTGCCATCACTTACGTGATTGGTTTGCTGGGCACCTATGACTAGCAACAATATAGGTGCTCATTGGAGAATGAGTTCACTAATTGATTTGCTCACGGAATATTAGATGATTAATGATACCTCATTGTCAAATAGTGATTCCGTCATCCTAGTAGTGTATTTGGTCCTTAGACTTGAGACACCAAGGATGTTCTGTATGAGTACTCCATTATTTAATATTAAATTTTGGCTCTAAATTTGAATCTATTTAGGGCTTATAAATACCCCACTCATCCCTGCTCGGTTTACACAAGAATTGTGAACAAAAACTTGAGAAAACGTTATTGTAATCTTGTGAGAATTCCCCTCCTCTTCTCTAAGTTTGATTTCAATTTAAGGAAGGGATGAGTGACTTATAAAGGTTATCTCTTAAACCAGTGAAAATGAGAAAAAAGTTGTAAGAGGGTAGTTGATCTTCATACAATGAAAGAAGATTAATAGTGGAAGCTGATAGCCCCAACAGAAGAGAAATCGGGAGTGGACGTAAGTCACGATGACCAAACCACTATAAATTCGATTTACATTTATGTTTTGCTTTTCATTCTCATTACTTGTTTATTTAATTGTCTACTACTCTTATTTGCTCACTACGCTTACGGATACCTTTAAGTCAAATGCATTTTTGGTATGAGTTTTATCGAACAAGATTTTCGAATCGACGTAATTTTACGAAAGCACTAATTCACCCCCCACCCTCTCTTAGTGTCGATTTCGATCATAACACTTCTCTCTCAATCCGAACGAAGCTAGGGATTTTATCTAAGCAAGCAAATATGAGATATTCCTCTCGCGATACCGAGAGTAGATGATCCTTTGTTGATACTCAATTGCTATGTAAGGTTGATTGTCATTCTCGAGAACCAATTGTACCAGATCTAGAACTTCCAAACATATAATTTCGATGTCAAAGAATGGATTACTCATATAATGCATCTTTAATGTCTCAAGTCTAAGGACCAGATATATAACTATGATTACAAAATTACTGTATGACGTTATGTATCATTAATCATCCAATATTTCGTAAGAGGATCAATCAGTAAACTTATTCTCTAATAAGCACATGCATTATACCTCTGGTGTCCCCACACAAGTCATTATGAGACCAGTCGCCTCTATCATATAGATAAGTTTATAGCGCATCGATTTATCTAGTTATTTTAATGTCCTTCTCGAGTGACCTATGATTGGGATGATTTATGATCTGTATTTGAAGGCGAATTAGTCTCATTATCATGATCTCATCACAATCAGATTTATATTGCATAGATCCAAGGATATTACAATATACATATAGATAATATGTGATAAAATGCTAGTAATAATAAGCAAAGAGATCGTCGTAGCGTGTCACAAGTATCATCACTCATGTGATTAGCTTATAAAGTACATATAACTAATAATTAACCCCACTAAATCAATCAAAGGAGACTTTAAAACACAAGATGACTCTTTGAGATTTATATAAGTGTCCCCTTGGGGTCATGTCAAAGGGAACATCTCCCAGCCACTAAGGCGTAAAAAAAAAAAAGAGTTATCCTAGCCACTATTAGGAAATAAGAGAATCTATGAAAATCCTATAGATATTAGGAAGATACGAGGAATCTTCTCCTCTCCTTCGTTATTAAAAAGGTAATTGAGCAAATCTTTATCGGGATACCCATCTCTCTCTCTCTCTCTCTCTCTCTCTCTCTCCTTTCTTTCTCATCTTCATTTATTAAAACACTAACCTAGAGGATATGAAAAAAATACTCCTGACGTTTGGACCCCACTCAAGATGAGATGGTCTCCCATTCCCTAGGAAACCACCTTCCATAACCAAGATAGAGTATCTTCTTGGGATCATCCTGCCAAGGCACGTGAGTCGGGCATGCCCAACTCATGTAAGAATAAATTCATCATGACAAAAAAATAAGCTAGGAAGGTGCTTCAAACCCTAGAAATAATAAATAAAATAAAATATATATATCGTCATATAAGAAGAATGCTTCACGCATGTTAGAACCAAGAAGACATGCTCCAAACCCTAGAAACTTTGAAGCACGTCTTTGGACTCCTCTTGTGAGAGCCATGAAATATGCCTTGGGGGGAGGGGGTGACAAATGATAATGAGTATATCATCAACCATTCTTTATCTACCACGTGGTGTCCGAGGTAGAAGGAGAGGACGGAGGCCACTCTTCACCCGTTTGCTTACGCGAGCAAGAGTCCAAGGCAGGTGGTTATGAGTTGCACCCCTCTTTTGCTCACATAGACAAGAGACAAGGGGAGACTCTTGGTGGCGGTTAGAGTTTGTCTCCCTATAGAATATTCTATAGAATATTATACTTATTTATGACTAAGTATAAAAGCTCATCTTCAACATAATAAAAAGGGGATCTTACCTTCATTGACCTCTCGCATTCGCACTCATGCATCTCGAGTTAGTAACTTAGGTGTCAAAGGGATTAAGTTAGAAAACATCTTCTAACCTTAGTCTTCATGTATGTGGCACCTCGAGAGCTCGACGTTTCCATCTCAAAGACATCTGAAATAATCCTACAAATATGGGTCAGGAGCACGTCAGGCTGACTATAATATCAACGACTTCTTTCAATACTAATTAACTATCCTTTTTTCCACAATCCTAATTAGATTTTAAATGGATCATAAAATGATGTTGTATACCATTTTTATACGAAGATTACTTTTTATATTTTATATTTATAATTTAATATTAAAATTTTTAAATATCATTAATTATCCCTTTATAAATAAACATATATACTCTCAATTTATAATTTAATTTTAATAAAATTTATTTTCTCCTTATTTACAACTCCTTTTTTTTCCTCCTCCTCCATCTTCTCCTCTTAATGTTCAAAGAGACATAAATTAATAAAAAATATAAATAATAAAATAAGATAAATTAAAGACGATGACAAGGGTGTAAGAAATATTTTTTGACATTTATAATAATTTAATATTTTTAAAGTTATATATCTTATTTAATATCCCAAACAACATCAAGGCCAATTGCATTAATTTGAAAAATATCATATTTCAAACTTTTACAAACTACTCAGTATAATGCACAAGCGATGGAAAGAGTTGGTGAGAAGAGGGTGCATTAGCGAGTTGTGAGAAAGGAAAAATTAAAAAGAAGAGAATAAAAATAAAAAGAGAAGGGATATAAATAGTAAAATATTATTATTTTTAATTTTTAAAAATATAAATAATAAGAAAATTATGAATAATATGAAGGGGATCAAAATAGTAAACTCCTTTTTTATATTGACAAGAGCCTATCTTTAACTATAATTAAATTAGCCATATTTTTGTAATGATCCGTCAACACCATTCTATATAATTTGCCATAACCTTTACCTGCTACAAGAAGGGCTTGCTAGTTCTTGGTCTTTAAAGGAAAGATCAAAGATAATATATATATATATATATATATATATATA